CCTCCTAGCAGTCCAAGGGACTCTTAAGAGTCTTCTCTAGCACCACAGTTCAAAGGCATCAGTTCTTTGGCACTTAGCCTTCTTTATGGTCCAGCTCTCACAGCCGTAAATTACTACTGGAAAAACCATAGCTTTGACTATGCAGATCTTTGTCAGCAAGGTGATGTCTCTGCTTTTTATTATGCTATCTAGGTTTGCCATCAGCAATCTTCCCATGTGTGAAGGGTTATCACAGGGAAGAGGGAGTAGGTTTCTTCTCCCCAGCACCTGAGGGTCAGACAAGAACCAGTGGGTGAAAGCTTTACAGTGAGAGATCCAAACTTGAATTAAGAAGGAATTTCCTGACTGTGAGAGCGATTACACAATGGAACAGCCTGCTCAAATGGTTAGAGGCTTCTTGCACTGAGCAGGGGGTTGGACTAAAAGACCCCCAAGGTCCCTTCCAACCCTATGATTCTATAAAAATGGATGTTTCAATTTAGCCACTGTGACTATTCACAGCAATTGACTAAATTCCATGTATTTGTCAAATTTACCGTATATCCAAAGCCAATAGCTATCCATACTACATATGGCATTCACTTCTCTATATTAATATTTTAAACTTTGGAAAGGAATTGCCTTTCATTTGCTGCATCTGTCCACTCATCTACTTCATCCTTTTCTCAAATTGTTTAAATGAGCCAAACCAATGTTATCAACTCAAAATTTGGATTCTATGTACTCTCCAAAATATACATTCCAGAGCAGTGTTTCTCAACCTTGGCACCTTGAAGATGTATGGACTTCAATGCCCAGAATTTGCCAGCCAGCATGCAAGTCCACACATCTTCAAGGTGCTAAGGTTGAGAAACACTGCTCCAGAGACTTATGTCTCGGTGCATTTCTCCAATCTACTTTCTTGAGGAGAACTGACAATATATAGCATGTAAATAAATAGGCTAGCCAGAGCAGCAATACCCACTCCCCTCGCCGACTTGGGGAAACCTGCTCTCACCATTGCAGCACAGTCCTCCGTGTTCACAACAGGGAAAGTCTCCAGGCTGGGAACAGAGCAAAGATTACAAAAGTTTCCTCTTATTAACCCTCCAGCCCAGACATTCGCTTATTTAGCCACACTATTTTACACTTCCCTTGTAAAGCACAGCAATTAAAACAGCATTGAAACATTAGTAAGGGGTGGTGGCAGAGTTTCATATAGCAAAAGATATATATGAGAAGAGTGTATGGCAATTAAAAAGCAAGAATGCTTTATTCCACACACCACACCAAGTTGTTCAGTAATTCAGTGGGACTCAAGTCCTTCAATCAGTGCTTGCTGTAAATGAAGGAGCTAAGACAAAGTAACATCCAGCTGCTGTGTGGCATTCTGATATCACAGAAAACATTAGTTTTCTGAGCTGGGTTGAGCAGTTGAGCCTGTCACAGAACATGAAGACCTCACAAATGCCATGCTATTTGTTTCTTAACCAAATGAAGAGGAAATGAAAAAAGAGGAAGATGATTTTCTAGGAAATTGTTTCCCAATTGTTAGAGAAGATATACTTCCATCTCCTGAGTTATTCCGTCAAGCCCAACCCTTCCATATTCTAGCAGCAATAGTGTTTCCTTCCTGTCATTCATGGTTTGCTGTATCTGTCCTCTATCAAGATCCTCTAAAGCTAGTACTTTCAAGTTTTCAGATGAATTAGTTAAATCATCATGTGGCTTGGTTTTCATATAGTAAAATATGCAAATCCACACTGTGTTGCAATAGTGTTATGCATGAGCAGATCATTATAGTTTGTTCAACAACAATGGCTTTAAAAAAATTGGCTTAGCATCAGGTATGAAGATGGCCACCATTCTGTCAGAAATTATGGATGAACTCTCTCAGTAGGTCTGTGGTAGATTCCATTTCCATAGTACAAATAGGAAGGAATGTGACTGATTTATTCGCTTAAAACAAATACCATAGCAAGCTAATAAATCAATTAATCCAAGGACATTGCAAAGAACATTAAGAATTAAACAGCAATCTTAAGTCCCTGTGAGACTGAAAGTTACTAGAAACCTCAAGGTTCAGGAGAAAAAACACATTCTCCTTTGTCAGAGTATTTTAGCTTTATCTGGGAGAGGGAACTATTTGCAGATTTAATGCAATCTTAAGGAGCAGCCATGCAGAAAAAGGATTTCCAAACAAGAAAAGAGTATCAGAATATTGCTTTTGAAATGCAGAATTTTGAAAAGGTCACATCAGCAATATATATGCCGAATAAATGTTGCCATGAAAATACCATAGCAACATCCTCCTTTTATGGATCACCATTGAAAATGAAGGTCAGAATGCAAACCCTTGCTCAAATTACTGGTTTCACCAACTATCTGATCAGCTCCCTGTCTGATTTCACCTCCCCCCCTCCAAAAAAAATCACAGTACTGACTTGACATATAAGAAATTACTCAGTCAATACAAGGGTGTTGTATGGGATCTGCTTCACTCTCACCAAGCAGTAGCATGGAAGTCTGAAATGGAAATGTGACTGCAAGATTAGCAAAGAAATCTAAGTCACAATTTAGCAATAAGCTTCTGGGTGCAATTCAAGGTGATCACATTTAAAGTCCTTCATGGCATAGGGCCTGGTTATTTGAGGAACTATCTGTCTCCTTTGGTGTCTGCCCATCTTATATGATCAGACAATATTATGAGGTACAGATGTTGCTCCAAAACCAGACACATCTTCTTCTCTCCATGTTTCCCCCTTAAATATCTTGGTTGATGCAGAGTTCTTAAAACTGAAAACTTGCAATAAATTTTGTAAAATTTCATTTGGTCGAATGAAGAATTTGCATCTATGTTTTTTTTCCCCTTTTGCAACCATTATGCATGTGGATGCTTTGCCAGCTGACAGGCACTGAGACATCCCCAAATAAACAAGGAAGAGATGCTCTTTTTGTCAAGTAAACCCAGAGAACAACCCTCAGCAACTCCCCATTTGCTGGAAATAGGAAAACTGAGACTCCTTAAAAAAAAAAAAAAAAAAGTAGAAATTGATGGGTTTTTCTTGTGTTTGGTCTTTGACTATAAATAAATTTTGTCAAGTTGATTGATGGCCTGAGGCTGGAAAACACATGGGGTGTATCATCTGTCCAAACAGCCCCTGATATGTGGCTGTAATGTTCAGGCATCAGTGGGGAAGTCCAGGTAAATTGAAAAGCAGAGGGACTATCTGTTTCAACAGTCTTTTATCTCTGTAGAGGTAGATAAGTCTATCCAGGAACTTGCCTTAGGCATTTGACTTATTTTTCTGTGCTGTGTAAGACTAATATTCTTTCTTTCTCTGAACAAGCTCAGTAACAATATCTCCTTCCATCTTTTATGTTTATTCCAGCTTGTGAATGAAAACATTTTATTTCTTTCAAATCTTCTGTGATCTACAATATGAAACTGGAACTTGCTATGTGTATGTGTGTCTTCAAATCAGTGTTTGACTCCTGGCGACTGCCCGGACCAATCCCTGCAGTTGTTGGCAAGGTTTTTCAGAAGTGGTTTGCCCTTGCCTGCTTCCTAGGACTGAGAGAGAGTGACTCACCCAGCTGCTTTGTGCCTAAGGTAGGACCAGAACTCACGGTCTCCTGGTTTCTAGCCAAATGCTTTAACAGTATTACCAAACTGGCTCTTAGAACTTGTTATGCATATATTTTTATGGCAACATAGGAGCAGTAACTCAATGAATTGTAATCAACTAGCAAGCCCCTTGAGCATGAAACTGAGCAAACTGAGGGAGGCAGTGAAGGACAGGAAGGCCTGGCGCAATATGATTCATGGGGTCACGAAGAGTCGGACACGACTTAACGACTGAACAACAACAAGCAAGCCCCTACTCTCTTCTTCTAGTTAAAAGTAACAACATACCAAGCCCAGAAGGTCCCACTAATGCCACTAACTAGAAAACCATCAGATAACATTGCAATGTTTCATAGAGGTGGGACAATTGAAGAAATTTCCATAAACTATTTTCTAGATAATTATCAATAGTTGTGATTCCCAAACAAAGCCTGCAGTGATAAAACAGTGGAACAGGAAGGAAGGCAGGCAGGCAGGCAGGCAGGCAGGCAGGCAGGCAGGCAGGCAGGCTCATTCATCAAACATAGTCCCACAGCAAGTGATCAATAGTTTTAATGACTCCACTGGGCACAGTTGTTAAATGAAATGTTACGTGATCGCACCGACTTAAGACGACAGTTCCAGCTGTGGTTGTGAAGTGAATCACCTGCAGTTATTAAGTGTGATGTCACATGACTGTGACTTGCAACTTCCTGGTGGCTTCTCCATTGTCTTTTCTTGTTGGAAACCATCTGTGGAAGTTGATAATGGTGATCATGTGACCGCAGGATGCTGTGACCATTGTAAATGTGCACTGGTTGTCAAGTGCCCAAATCCTGATCACATGACCATGGGGATGCTGCAACAGCTGTAACTTCAAAGACCAGTTACAAGTCTAGTTTTTTAGCATGGTTGTAACTTTTGCTGAACAGTTGCCGAACATGTGATTGGTAAGCAAGGACTACCTGTATTAATATTTAAAATTAAAAAGTGGTTTTACATTTGATAATTTTCTTAAAGCATGGTTGTGTACACCTCCTGTGAGACTGCCTTATTTCCCAAGGAAAGGCTGCATCTTCTAGCCACAAGCCTCTATGCTCTATGGTTAGGAAGTGGCAGTCTTGAAATTTTTTCACTTTTTACCTTTTTTCAACTTTTTATTACCAGAATGGTGGCACAGGTTGTAAGAACCCTGCATCTCCCACACACCAGAGCAAGGGGGAGGACATTAGGTGAGGTACACCTTGGAATATGGGTAGTGGCAGTGGGAGCTACCAAGATGCTAAAGGAAAGCAATAATCAGGGTTGGGGTAAGACAAGGGGGTTTCTGGGAAAGGAAGGTTGAAACTCCCTGCCTTCTGTCCTATTCAGCCATTCTGCGACACCAGCACAGCTACACTAATTTCTGTGAATAGAACTTTCACTGTGGGTTTCCTTGAAGGAATAGCTGACCATAGCTTTTGACATGACAAAGTATGTGCTAACAGTCAAGTGATGGGAGCTCGATGATCTCTGATAATTTCTGAATGGCTAGGAAACAATGGAAAAGCCTTGTTCCTTTCTTCCTTAGATAAGAATAATGTGATTTATTTATCTCTGCATCATTAGTAACAATAGAAACAGCAGTTTGAAGGCATTTGTTCATGGGATCTTCATACCAGTTCAGAATCAGCACCAGACCTATCTGAACTCAAAACAGGCAACATATATGTTCAGAATCCACCTCCTAGGTTTCTTTTTTCCCTCACAAAGGTTCAGTTGTTGCAGAATTGTTTTCAGCATTTCAAGTTTGGCAGATATGAAGACAATCACAGGTTGGCTTCAAATGGCTTTTGAGCAGAACTGGTGGTGATGTGAAAATACTGAGTCTGTTTTCGAGAGAGACAAGACTGAGATCAAGAGAGAACTGACCTTCTTTAGCTATGTATGTTAATAGCATTGTGGGTTGTTTGCACCCTCTCTAGCTGTGAGAATTTAAGATAAGGCTGCATTTATGCTCAATAAATAAATTCAAATATTAGAAAATGCCATACATCTCCAGTGACCTTCTTCCAAAGAAAATTAGAACTTGGTGTGCCATGCATCCCGAGAAATCCTTGTTGCTTATGGAACTTGGATAAGCATAACAGTAAATTAGAATACATTAGTTAATCAATATTCCAATGTAGGGGTAGAGGCAAGATGATTAAATATAATTTAATAATAGCAGGCTATAGTCACAAGTTTAGCTTTCTTGAACATTGAGCAGGACTGAAAAGTATATTTTCAGAGGTAAGCTCTTTGGCAACCGAGCAAGAGAATAAAAAATAAAAAACTGGATCTTACATACATAAAAGAAATAAGTGCCTTTTAATTTTGTCTCCAGCATGCAATGAACTGGCAAATTTATTGCTACTGTGAGGTGGTTACCTCTGCCCTTCCCCTCAGCTCTGTAGACTGCCTTTCTTTTTGGATCTT